AGGCCATGTATTGGCTGGGCACCGCCGTGCTGACAAACCACCTGGTGGCGAATTTGTGGCCAAGTGCGTTGGGGCGTGATTTGCCGGATGAGTTTCCCACGACTGTGTCCAACGAGTGTTTCATTGCGAGTGTCCAATTCATGCTGAAGCGGCATCTTTTTGGCCAGGCAATCCTCAGCGTCACTTCCAAAGAGCAAACTTGGTTGCACCGTCGGCACGACTTCCGCGACGCGGAGGATGATTTACTCCCATTGCTGCTCCGCATTTTGCGGGGAGCGCCTGGCTCTGTCATCACCTTGGAACACATTTTTTGTGCAGACCTGGCATTGAAACGAAGTATCGAGAAAGGCTCCTGCAACGCGGCGGATCTGGCCCGCCAACGCATCGCTGATTTGTGGTTGCAGCTGAAAGACCTTGGGCTTGGGGAGCTGTGCAGCTCCGGTGGTACTGCGCGATTCCGCAAATATCATGTCGGGTCACTGTCTCCTGGTTGTTTGGATTGGTTGCGGAAACACCGGGTGCCACTTTCCCATTTCGGAAAACGTTCACATGTTGATCATGCAGCTTTTCTAGGCACCTGCCGTGGAGGGTGCGTGGACGTTGATTCGGGTGTGTGTGGAAGCAAAGACACAGCAGTGGACTCCGGGGAGCAAGAGCTTCAACCTTTGCAAAGTGCAGTGCCTCGTGTTGCAAAACCGTCTCCACAAGTTGCGCGTGGCGGTGCAAGTGCCCACCCAAATCAACCAGCCAAACCAAGGAAGAAGAAGCAAGCCATCCAGTGGCGCGACATTTCTCGGGTGGAGCTTGGGTCTCCTTTGATGTCCAACCAGCAGCTTTGGCAGCACCTGCGCCGCAGACCTGAATGGGCTGACACCAGAGTGGCCGTGCGGACTTTGTGGCAAAACAAAGAACGCATTTTGAGTGAGGTTCGCTGCGTAGAAAGCGAACTGTGCACCCATTGCTGGCGAACCCACTACATTCTCAGCAAGAGTTTGTACAGCCCTGGAACTTTGGTCGTTCAGGCATCTGGTGAACACACCGGGCATGACGGTGCTGTACCTTGTGCGTCAGGGAAAATCTTCAACGAAAAGCAGCGCGAAATTGCTGCCCGCTTCCTCTCCGGAGGTGGCCGTGGGGCCAAGAATTTGCGCGTGGCCCTTCTAGCTGCAGGCTGTGCCGATGCATCTTTGCCTGACAACACCCAGCTTGCCAATTGGTTGAGAAACAACAGCCGCAAAAACAAGGATGCCCTCGACAAAGACAAGTCTGTTGTGGCAGCGGTTGCTTTGGAAGTTAGTCAGTTGCCACGAAGCCTTCCAAAGCAAATCGATGCATTGTTTCTTCTGCGGGACCCAATCATCACGGATACGGAAGTCTGTATCCTTTTCGCTTCTCCCGGGACGCTGAACACCTTTGACCGTTACACTGGTCTAGATGTCGCCCTTTCTGTGGACACCAAGATGAAGGTGTTGACCCGCGGAATGGGCGTGGCCACAGTCAGCTTATTGGTCAAGGACCAGCTGCGCAAGACGCGCTTGCCCAAACTTGGCAAAGGCTCTCGGACTCAAAGCCGTGCTTGGACGTCGCATGGCATGCCCGTTGCGCAGGCAATTTTTCACGCCGAAACAAAGCCCAACTATTGCCGCCTTTTTCGGACCTGTTGCGACTTGTGGGCAGAACGCCAGCCGAGCCGCTTGCCTCTGCCCGAGCAGCGAAGCCTTCAAATCCACAAGGACTTTCACCCCAGCGCCGAAGAAGCTCGTCGAGAAGTCTTCCCACACTCTCGGGCATGTGATGATTTTTTCCATTTCAAAGAAAAATCTCACACGGTCATGCGGTCCAAGTGCCGTCAGGTTGTTCTTCACAAAGGAAAACATGTGAAAAAGCATTTGCACTATGCCTTGACTGTGGTGTCGCTGCTGCGGTTCATCCCGACATTGCCTCTGTTTAGCTGGCTCTGGAAAGCTTTCCTGGCTTCTTTGCGACGCATGGATGAACCGATTCTAGCCGATTGGTTGCAATCATACGAGCGGCCTTTGCCATCTATCTTTTCCGAGCAAGCCGCTGGCCCACAGGATCTTATTTATGTGAGTTTCTGGGTTGGCTTTGATGGCATTATACCCGGATCGGGCAGCGGCAGTGAGCCCGCAGAAGCTGTGCATGGCGCGTGGCAAACGGAATTGGCTTCTCTCGGTGGCCGTGGAGACATCAACCATTGCTTGTGCGTCCTACAAAGGCTCTACACACAACATTGGCAAGACTGGTACTCTTGGATGGATGCTTCGCCTTTGTCTTTTCAGCCGGCCGGACAGGACCCTCAGTTAGTCAATGGTGCGGCTTTAGCGCGAGCCGGGCGCACTACAGCAGCCAACTTCTCCAAGTTGCCACCGAACTCGTGCTATGTCCTTCAACAGTCCACAGATCATTCGTGGGTTGCCTGTGCAGCCACTGCCGCCACATCGCCGGTGAATCGTAGCTTGGCGCAGGGAATCTTGCGGTTCCTTCTTCAGCCGACGCTGCTGCATGCAAACAGTTTGCCTCAGTTGTTTGACGATTCCGGCAATCTTTCATTGCAGGCCCTTCGCTTTCACTTTGAAGATGTTGTGTATGTGCGGGCGCGGCCGACGTCCCTCCTTTGTTCTTGTGCTGCCGCAACAATGCGTGCCCAGTGCGAGCATTCGACGTTCCTTCGCAGCTTGGCGCTGCCGACATTCCCTTCGGACTCATTACTGCTCAATGATGTCCCAAAAGCTCGCAAGCGTACCGGGCGTCGAACAACTGCTGCTGAGCCGCCGCGGAAACGGCGCAGACGTACAGGGTGATTTGCTTCAAAGAAAGCCGTTGGTGCAGGTCCATCACGCTGCTGAAAAGTTTGTGCCGCAACTTCGCTGACAGTGCTTTCTTTGTGTAACAGCCTTGTTCTACTTTTAGTTTCTTTAAATTTCGAGCTTCAGCTTCCTCATGTCAGGTCTTTCAATTAAGCCTTTCAAACTGCAATACTGCTTTACTGCGCAGCATCTCCTTGCGCATGACATGCCCTTTTCCTTCTTCCAACCTGGACGCCATGCAGCCGGTCATTCTCTCAGGTCTACCATCCTCGTGTCCACCTGGGCCGGCGGGCGACCGACAAGGAGGAGGAGAAGAAGTCGTAGCAGTAGTAGTAGGATAAGGAGGCTGATGATGGTCATGAGGATGATGAAAATGGTGATGTTGATGCAGATGATGCTAATGATGACGCAGATGATGAGGAGGATGAGGATGAGGATGATGATGGTGATGCTGTTGATGATGCTGATGATGGTGATGATGATGAGGCTGCGGATGATGATGAGGATGGTGATAACGAAGAAGAAAAGATGATGATGATGACGATGATGATGATGATGCTGATGATGAAGATGCTGATGATGGTGATGATGATGCGGCTGAGGATGATGATGATGATGACGAAGAAGATGATGATGAAGATGATGGTGATGAAGATGATGATGATGAAGAGGAAGAAGAAGATGATGATGTTGATGATGATGATGATGCTGATGATGATGCAGATGATGACCAAGATGATGAGAATGATGTTAATGATGATGATGCGGATGGGGCTTGGGATAATGATGATGGCGATCGCACGGCGCGCAGCGCCTCCCCCCGGACTGCAGACATGGAAGACCTTTGTTGTTGTTGTTGTTGTTGTTGTTGCTGTTGCTGTTGCTGTTGCTGTTGTTGTTGGTGTTGCTACGGTGGGTACTGCGTATACGGGAGTTGCTACAATAAAAAAGCGGGAGGGATGGATCGGGGGGAGGGCGCAGCGCCTGGAGGAGGAGCAGGCGGAAGAAGAGAGGAGAAGTAGGAGGAGGAGGAAGAGGAGGAGGCGAAGAAGAGGAGGAGGAGGAGGAGCAGGAGGAGGAGGAGGAGCAGGAGGAAGAGGCCAAGGAAAAGGAGGAGGACGAGGAGGAGGAGTTGGAGGAGGAGGAGGAGAAGGAGGAGGAGGAGGAGGAAAGGAGGAAGAGAAGGAGGAGCAGGACGAGGAGAAGAAGAACAAGGAGGAGGAGAAGGAGGAGCAGCAGCAGGAGCAGGAGAAGGAGGAGGAAGAGGAGGAGGCAGCCGACGCCGAAAACACCCGTTACCGACGCAAAAAACACCAACCGTCCCAGAAAACACTGTTTGCCGACGCGACAAACCCCGGGGCCGTCGCAATAAACACCGGCCAACCGACGCAGAAAACACCGTTCCAGCACCGACGCAAAAAACACCGGTACATGTGCACCGTCGCAAAAAACACCGTTTACCGACGCAATAAACCCGGAGCCCAAAGGGTGCAAGATCTGACCTGTTCGTAGAGGCTGCAGAGGTGCAAACGTCCTTGTAAAAACCATAAAAAACTGGATCCCACTAGACGGAAGCCAAGGTGGGTCCTGCCTGCATTCTGCATTCTTTCGAAGCACTAATTAGGTATCCCAAAAACAAACTGATGGCAACTTGCCGGGTGGTCGAGCGTCGAGGTGTGTCGTCTTTGAACAGTGAGAGGGCTCCACAAGTCCCTTGTCCCTTCAAGCCGGCCTAGAGCCCAGAGAGCTCCCTGGACCCCCCAAGTCCTGGCGTTTTGATTGGGGAAGGGAGCCTGATGAAGTGAACATTTGCCAGCTGAATGCCAAGCATTGGTCGCCGCTCGACTTTCACGCTGCTAATCGCCATCCTTGGAAAGGGCGATTTTGATGCATCAAGCGTGTTCCTAAACATTTTCTCTCAAGCATGGAAGCGCCTAGACAACAGGCATATAATGCAACTGGCAGAACGCGGCAGAAACCAGTGCCTCAGCAGTCCTTCGAACCAGCAGCCGCCAAGCACTAAAAACGGCTTTCTCACTTTTTTCAGGTTTTTTCCCTGGTCCCCCCGCTGAGACTCTACACTGTTCGGAGGATTTTTCCAGTCGGACGCCACCATCGCCGAGATGATCGGGTGATTTTGATGTTCACTCGATGAAAATCCTCTTCTGGTGCGTTGAACTGGGTCCGGTTCTCAAATCCAAGAAATTGACCTTCCGTTTCTGATCAGTTCGCTTCTCTCCGCCGCGATTGGGCACTTCTTCGTGATGGCCAATCCTGAAGGACGGGAGACGGACTGGAAGGTCGTCAGCTGATGGTCGTCAGCTGATGATGTCCTTTTGATGCGTAAGGTCGTTCCGCTTCTGTTTTTGCTCATTTGTTTTTTTTCCTGTCACTTGGTCACATGATGGTTCATCGCTTGGTGTCTTTGGGTGAGATTATGTGATGGATCGATGTTTGTGCATCGGCGCTAAGGAAAAAGTGCGTAAAGCCCTGTCATTATTCTGAAGATGGGGGCCCACATACATACTGTAAATGGGGATTGTGTCACCTCTCCATCCACTCCCAGATCATGTTTTCTCCACATTGGGTTGAAATGTCCCATGTTATGCTCCCAACCATTGATAGCCTTTTCCTATTGGTTGGTTGATTCATAGAGTGGTTCAATAACCAATAGGTAATAGGTATATGAAATTGTACTTTATGGTGCCGGGCATCCTTGTTCCCAACCCTCAGGAGAAAAGCCATCGTTCAAGCTCCATGTGCAGAGCATGAGTGGAGAGGAGGTCACCCTCGAATTGCACCAGGAGCGACGCATTCTGCGGGACCAGGGTTGGCGAGATTGTTCGCGGAAGGTGGGAAAAGACAAAGCAAGCCGTGAAGGACATGGAGGCTCCTCCGAGTGCGGTCGTAGGAGCCGCGACCCCTTCGGTTGCGGCCAGTTGGGGGGCATGTGGTTGCCATCAGGTGAGGATCTTTTCTTGTGACATACTTTTCACGCCAAGAGTTCGGATGGGAGCTCGACCGTTTTTCTGAGGATGCTACGGTGAACGACTTGCGTGAAGCCATCCGCTCGAAGATGGATGCTGGAGGGTTTCTTGCGGCAAGATGTGGGATTCTGGTGTGTTTTCTTGGGGGGGAGCCGAATCTGCTCCTTAGAGCTGCCAGGAATTCCTCCCATGTCACGAAAGTCAGGATTTCCTCCGATGTGCCTGGACTCTTCTAGTGCCAATGAGTTGGGGAAGGCCACCAAGTCCTTCGGCGTTTGCAAGAGGAGACAGATAAGACATCACGAATTAGGATGTCTTAGATTGTCTTATTGTGTATGTTATGCAGCTTGACCATGCAGGGCCTGAGAACATCCGACTGACTTCAGATGTTCTGGTTGGGCGCGGCACGCTGCTCTCCGCTGCTATCGACGGCTACCCCTCTCCTTTGTCGCAAGGTCGGGCTTCCGCTTGATCTCGGGAAGTCGATGCTTGGAGGCGCCCAGCGAGAAGCTGACGAGCCTCGAGGTGGAGGATGGTTCCACCATCATTATGATGAAGGACCTTGGGGCCAACGAAGGGCTTCGGAATGAACATCGGACCGGGACCCCAACAGGGTTTGACCACCAACGATGCACGGGAAGTCCAGGGCGCACGGGAAAACGCGCGCGCGCGCTCTAAGACAAAGCGTTGCTCATTTGGAGATCCATGACCCCATCCACTAAGACATCAGTTGGGGAGGGTACTCAGCTGGCAACTAAGTTTTCTCAACGAATGTTGTTCTTGTCCGAGAATGTGTCGAGAATTTTGATGAAATCTAAGTCGGAGAATGAAATTAATTGGCACGCTCCCAGTGGGGAGACGCATCAGAAAGTAAACAAACATGCATCAACAAATAAACATGCATCAAAATATATCAATAAAAACAGAAAAAACACATAGAAAGAAACGAGTACAGGAAGAAAGGAAGGACGGAAGGAAGGAAGGAACGAAGCAAGAAAGGAAGCAAGAAAGGAAGGAAGGAAGGAACGAAGCAAGAAAGGAAGAAAGGAAGGAACGAAGCAAGGAAAGAAGGAAGGAAGGACGGAAGGAAGGAAGGTAGGAACGAAGCAAGGAAGCAAGGAAGGAAGGAAGGCTGTGAAATTGAACTGCGATGTTGCAAAACTTTGCCCAGATGCCCAGCGCAGAGACCATTGCAGTTATCAAAGGAAGAGTCATTGGGGAAACTCCATGCTTTTTGTTTTTCGATCGCGCCAAGTTACATTGCGGGGAGGCGCTGCGCCCTCCCCAGCGCCCCCTCCCGCCGCCCGCTGTTACGGTAATTGTTGAGCGTAGAATTAGTTTCAGGTATATTATAGCTTTCTACACTCTAGACGCCATTCCTATTATGTGACTTAACAATATATTGGTTTTATTGTTCACTGATCTATTTTATTTGTGTCTTTTCTTTCCTTCCTTCCTTCCTTCGTTCGTTCGTTCGTTCGTTCGTTCGTTCGTTCGTGCGTTTCAATTCAATTCGATTCATTTCATTTCATTTCATGCATTCATTCATTCACGGATTTTAATTGAATTGGATTGAATTGAGCTGAATTGTCACGTCATTTCATTTCATTCGTTCATTGACTCATTCATTCGTTGATTTTCCTGTTTGTTCTTGTTTGATGTGTTTTTATTCTTTTGATCACTGCTTCGAACGTAATACTGCCCTTCCCTCTGCGCATTTGGGTCCGTATATTTTTGTTGTCTATTTATGTTTGTTTTTTCTTGATCACCGTGAATGATATCTATTTGTTGATTCATTTTGTTTTTTTGTTGATCCCTCGCCCGTTAATGGAATATTGCTCATCCCTCTGCATGTTTGGGACCGTTTACTTTTTTGTTGATTCATTTTTTCTTGATACCCTGAAATATTTTTAATTTTTGATTCATTTTGCTTTTTTGTTGACCCCTCGCCCCTCGCAGTGTGCCTTGGATCAAGCTAGGGGACACTCCATCTATGCCATATTTGCTTGCATTGGGGTGGTTTGGGGGGTCAATGTAGGCATATGGCATACATGGAGTGTTTGGGATAGTAGATGATAGTATATATTCATATTCAAGAAACTGTAGGCCATGACTTTTGAGGGCATGGTGGACGGAAGAATTTAGTTGACGGGGGGTGAGCCTCTGGAGGAGGGGTGGGTGAATTTAAGATTTTGCCACACGATGGGGCCTTGGGACGAGGACGTGGCTCAAAATTAATCCAGTTGTTTGCGAGCACTCGGCCAATTCGGGGGTATAACGCTTTCAAAGCTAGGAAAGCCGGCAGACCGCAACGCGTGCTCTTGATGACAGCCGTTTGGTGGCCTGACGCACTGGCAGGGGAGCGCGCTAGATGCGCGCTAGACCACTTTGCATCTTTGACCACTTGGCCAACTGCTTACCAGGGCTACTACTCAGTACACTAGAGACATACACACAAACGGATTGCCTGCACGACGTTGCACTGGGGTGATGAGAGTGGGTGGAAAGACGAGAAGGGCAGCTGGGGTGGGCGGTTTTGTTTGCACGAATAAAGAGAAGAAAGAATGATAAGAACATCATCTATCAGTCCACCTATCATATCTTGACAACTGGCTTATAAGAGGACTGCTACTTTCAGTTTCACACTTGGAACATTTTGGAACCGTCTGACCTGTAAGTCAGAATGCAGCTATGAAAGGGCACGCGCAACATACAACCATATACATGAGCAGACGTCGTCTACATGACAGCCACCGCTTGGAATTGCTGTGATTTGAAGCTAGGATAATAATGATTTTGGAACGGTTTTTTTCAGCTCACATACCTTTGTGAGACCCCCGAGGGCCAAACTCAACCAAGGAAGGTGCTGGTGTTTTTCGAAAAATGACCTCGAATGTCCTCGAAGCACTATCTATCCGAATCCCCTTGCTGGCCGCGCGCACAGATTTCCAGCGTGAGCCGCCGCCGTTAGGAGCGCTCTTGCGACTACACTTGCCTGGGAGAAGCGCAGAAGGCCGTGGTGAGGCTGAGCTGAAGAGCCCAAAGGCTGCGAGTCTGGACCCAGCCAGTTCGCTAAGGTTTTGGCCCTTACAATCGGGGTCTTGGACCGAACCAACATGTAGCAGGTTGAGGGTCCACGAGCCTTTGGGAGAAACTGGTCGAACAGGTCCGCGTGAAATGGCAGTTCTTTGTCAGTGACTTAACCAGTGTGGCTACTTGGTAGAAATCCTTTGTGAGGCGTTCTTGCGTTTTCCGTTTGCAACCCCACTGACAAACTCATAGCTGGCCCAACTTTCGGTGATTGACATAGTCATCCTGAAAATGACGCCAGCCGAGCGGGCTCTTTCCGGCACCGGGATCCAGTGACACACTCTTTTTGCAGCTATTCATTGATGCCCTGAAAGCTCCTGGCTCAGCATCCTTCTGTTTATGTCAGCTTTGTGGTTGTTGACGCCTCGTTTGGAGGGCTTAGACTGGGGGCCAAACCGGCCGCCATGTCTGAGGGGCTTGACAAACAGCCTTCACCCCCCCGGCGCCTTTGCATTCCTAGGAAATGCGGTCAGTATCCCAACGGGCTGGTGTATCACGGCGACAGGCCGCCCGACTGGGTCGTACCGGATGGGTCGGAGGGCTCCGGGTCCTCGGGACTCTGTTCCTCTCCTTCACTGGATGGGTTGGGAAGAGAGGAAACTCGCGGTGGCATGTGGGAGATGAATGACATTTGCTGGAGTTCGAGCAGTGCCCTACTGTATTCTACAATCCCGTTTGGGCTCCGAACGCCCCATATCCTCAGGTTCGGTGGTATTCGACCCTCCTGGCATCCACCCCAACTATCAAACCTCAGGAGGTGGGCCAGGAGCCCTAGGCAATATTCCCCATATATAGACTCCATGTATGCCATATATGGCTACATTGGGGTGGTTTGGGGGGTCAATGTAGGCATATATGGCATACATGGAGTCTATGGGTTCTACAAGACTGGCTGATGTCTTGGTGTTTTGGCGTCCCAGGCGATCGCCATGGTACCCCCCGGCGATCGTGCGTCAGCCGCCGTTGGGTCACACCAGGGCCGTTGGGTTTCCCTCGATACGTTGCATTCAAGAATGCCTATTCCCAGACACTCCATGGGACTGGATATATTTACTCACATTGAGCCCTGAAACCACCCCAATGCAAGTCAATATGCCAGTCCCATGGAGTGTTTGGGGCATGGTGAATGTGCAGAAAGTGCCATTCTCATTGGTGGTGTGAACCTAACGCTACGAGATGAAACATCGTCCTATTTCATGCCGCAACGATGCATACTTTTGCCTTCTGCGAATGACAGGATCTTAGGCCCTTCATGAAACAGAGGCCATCAAGAATTGTCCATTCTTAGCATCCTTGTCACGAAAGGCTTCAGCTGCCATGACAGGGGGTTGCAGTTGACGAGCAATTGAGGCGGCAAGCGCCCAAATTGACCAGGAAGGCCCCAATGGAATAGATTTCTCCTGGTCCTATGTTGCTTCCAGAGTTGATCCATCCTGATTCATCCTCATTAGAACCTCAGGTGTCAGACCATTCTTCCCCCTACTTCGGCCACCGAACACGTCTCCCTTTGTGAGCAGATCTGGCTTCTCAGGCTGCTGGTTGCGACCTACTTTGGCATCCTTGAGGCTCCGGGCGTCCGGACGGAGACCGGGAGGACTCCCCGAAGCGGTCTTACTACGCCTTAGGCCGTGCATCGGAGAGCAGGTCTACAGCTCAGAGCTCAAGCTGATCCACAAGGAAAAGCTGGATGTCCAGGGTCATCCCAGCCAGATCTGCATGGCAGGCGAGACTCTGATTTGGGCACGCGAAACGTGAACTGACATGTCAGCAATTTGCTGTACAAAACACACACACACACGCACATCACTCACATGTTTTTTATTTGTGAAATTGTGTGTATACAGGCAACCGGTGGAACAACTAGCCGTGATGCGTATGCTGTATGGTTGCGGACTTTTTTTGACCTAAATGGGGGGCTTCAGGCCAAGTTACATCAAGAACTATAATGCACCAGGAGTCACAAAGGGGTGGTTTTCAGGATAATGGGCACCCCTCTCCTCCAATAGGCATCCCTTTGTGACTGCTGGTGGTGACCATGTAATGTGGTTACTGCCCAATGTCAGTGTCTTTGCAGTATCTCACCTCCTTTGTATCCTGTCCTAAGGTCTGGTCCCCAGACACTTTTTCTGATACAGTTACGCACGTTGGGGTGGTTTCAGAGGTGTACGCCAATAGTCCATTTGTCGTGTTCGGTGTCTAGATCCTGACATCTTGTAGCACTCGGATTGCCCCCAACTGCCCGTCTGCCCAAAGATGGGATGCCACTCGAACCTTCGTCCTCCCGTGTCAGAACACCCGTGAGCTCGCTCCCTAGACTTCCGTTCGACCATTAAACCATGGGAACGACCTGGTGTTTGTAGTGTAAAATCCTTAGTTGATTCAAGCCTAAGGAGCTCGGCACCCGACCAGGGAGCTCCCTAGGGATCCTTGGTTGATTCAGCCTATTCAATTCAAGCCTCGGGAGCTCGGCACCCGACCAGGCGGATCCTTGGTCGTGGCCAGTCGAGACAGAGGTGGAGTGGTGATCTTCGAGCCCGTGGACGGCTTCCCTTTCGGACGCGGGTCCCGCGCCACGGTGGCATCGAAGGCACCCAACAGTGGAAGAGTTTGTGACTTCATGACGGTAAGCCAGGCTGGAGACGGGTATCAGCTGTGATCTGTTGAGGAGGTAAGCCTGTGAAGTGAAATGGTGGAGATATCTTCTTGGCTTTTAAACGGTTTCTGCAGCATTAATACATGTGCAGTTACAATTGCATTTGCTCTTTATATAATTGTTGAGCCTTTAACATATAAAAAACCAAGAAGATTGAACAAGACAAATAGAGTATTGGCATGTATTTCATTAAATGAATAATAACAATTATGTTATTATTATATATGTATACATATTACTATTACAGCAACATTATTGCCAATAAGAATAACAATACAATTGCATCATCGATTCTTATAGAAAGAAAAACATAACATTGATGATATTCTAGTTATTCTGGTAGGTTTTTTGCTTTATTTTTTTGCATAGCAAACCTCCCATAAAATTAAAGACACATGATTGGACATGCATGATTGGACATGCAACACCGGTTCACTGTCCGGGATCCCCGTCTTTCCCAACGTGCAACGGGTGGGCTGTAGCATGCCGTAGCCACTTGAGATCACTTAGAGGGGAATTGGATTCTTGAACCCATTCCCCTTTGGGCTGGCCGCCCCCCTCAGGTGATCGGTGGGCCAGAGGGGTTCCGGGTGCCAGGGGGGCTTTGGGGAGGGGTTCTGCAGGAATGGGCTGGAACACGGCGGAGCACGTGCATTCAAAAGACATTACTGTTACAATGAAGCAGGAGAACTGCAGGGCGCAAGCTCGCTTGAAATGTTCTTGTTCTTTTGAGCTACGACCAAAAAATACTCCCGGCTGGTTGCTTCAGTGGGGATTGCAAAGGCAGAACATGATGATATATGATGACATATGATGACCTATATTATATAACCCAAGAGAACTTACAATCCCATGGCCAGTTCGCTCCCATTTCGCTCCACCGATTCTGCAGCAGTTTTCGTGACGAACCCGACTTGAACCCATGTGCGGCATGCGACCTCGACTCGATCGTCGTCCGGGGTGGAAATTCATTCGAAAGGCCACGTCCATTCATCGAATGATTGGACTTGAAAGACCCACTTCGCTTATTCCAACATACCAGCCTTGTTCCATGTTGCTTTCACCTACGCCATTTCGCGTCCGTTCGGCTCGTCCGGAGCTTCGTGTTCAGCTCTTTGGCAGCCAGACCCGGGTCTATCCACGTCCGATCCGCCACTCACAGGATTCTATGTAACCCGTCGGGTGTGGCGGTCAGTGGAGACCGCGCGCCTTGGTGGAGACAGGAGACTCGACCGCGCGCGGGCCGACCGCGAGGCGGACCGCGTGCGTTGCTGGTTGGAGGCCGGGATGCACCTGTTGTTTGGTTCAATGTTGTGTTTCCAAGCCGGTCAAAGGCGATGATCCGATGATCGCTATTCTTGAAAAAGGTCTTCAATACAAACCATCAACATCCACAGAAACCTGGTAAGATAGACCCAATCAATGTCCTTCTGAATGCATTTGGGCTCAGAAGGACCCTTGGGGGCTCAGATGGACCAACTCTGCATCTATAGGACCCACTTGAGACGTTGTATGTCCAGTCCCAGTCCAACCCCCGAAGTCCCACTCCTGAGATTCTGAGGAGGTTGGCTGCCGCACCGAGTTTTGCGACACACACCCGGGGTCCGAGACCCACATGGACCCTGAAAACCACTGGGGTTGGTACACCCTCTTCCCAGGGGGGACGACGTCAGGGTCTCTGTACCCGGACCTCGGCCCAGAACGCCCTGGAGGGCTGGCCCTAGTGATCGGACCCACGAGCGAACAGAGATCACATGAGACACCCACGAAGGGACCTGATGTCTGGGAGTCTGGGGTGGCAGCCATCAACCGAAGTCTACTGGAGTCGGATCAAGCGGTGGTCGCCACACAGGTTCCCATGGCCACGTCAGACATATCTCCAGCAGGTTCCCAGCTTGTTGAAGCCATCTGGGCTGACCAGACGATTGGAGCCTCCGAAGGTCTTTGTCTCCGAGTATGGCTACCTGAGCACTTTCCGCCTCAGCCGCCCGGACGAAGCGCTGGCTTCTCAGTTGCCATGTGTGTATCCACCGTACCTGTATTTGTGGTGGCCCACCATTGATTTACACCCAGGAAGATTAACATGGAACCTGAACATTGACCTTTGGATGATTATGCTCCTCTACAACCCAATGGTTTTCAGCTTCCATGGTAACCTTCCCGGGTGTAATGGTTGGAATCGGCGGGTGCTGTAGCAGGACTTTGACACTCGGACCAGCATTCAGGTGAACCATTTTTCTGTTGACTCCTTCTCCACCAACGGAGGAGTTCCTGGACCAGCTCTCGTGACGTCCGTGTCCGTGTCCGTGGGTCGACCCAGACCGGACCTCGATGGACGGCTGTGGCGTCACGAAGAGCCCTGTGGGGTCCAGGTCCAGAGGTCCATCGCTGCAGTTCCCAAACACGACCTGCCTGAAAAATGCCATGTCTACCATCATGGACCTCCCTGGCACCACCCCTGGCCGGAACTCTCGGCAGTCCTATGGCAGTCACATGGAGTCGGGGTTGGTGAACGCCGCAGCTTCTTATCTCTGCAGGTGATGGAGAGCTGCTGGACCGGCGCAAGGGCGGTGCCTTTGGTAGATTTACGGACCTAGTAGGGAATGTTGAGCTAGTTCAGTGTGCCAAGAGAATCATCCGTTTCCCATGGGATGTTGATTGTTTACAGTAGTTTTCCATAAGATTTGGATAGATTTGGATGACTTGCGTCGATCTTGGGTGTAGCTGACCGTGCCTGGTACCGTGCAGGGGCACCCAAGGGACTCGAAGATTGGAAAATGTATCGAACGATGGAGTCCTGATCCAGAAGGGCCACGCTCACTATACAGATTCGAGCGCGAAGAGACACAGTAGCGACCATAGCAACGTAGCTCCCAGGTTCGGAATGCCAAGAAAGTACAGCTTCTAGCAGCTAGCAACTGGCTCCAGGATGTTCTCATATTCTATCTACTCCAGGATGACTATACATGTATTTTTGTTTCTCCAGGGGTAGGGCGGAGATGCATGCTTGAAGTCTCAACGATTGGTGACGGTCATCAGGGTATGTAGGGGCTGAGACAATTTGACATGTGTTGCACAAGAAGGCCGGACGGTCATTGCCTGAGCTTCACCGTCCACTTGACCCAGATTTGAAAATCAACAAGCCCTAAGAATCCTTGCGCTCTCCATGGCAGGGGTCGGACCCGACACCTTCGCAGGGGTCCGGGCCCTCAAAACCCTCTGTTTGAGGGCTCGGATTCTTAGGGCGACTCATATTATAGTGCGCTTTGGACCATCTGTAGTCCAATCTATCCATTCAAGCTCAATCTGTCCAACAATCCGGTCGGCTCCCACGCGGCACACGTGGATGGACAGCATGTTTTTTCGTCGCAGGTGTCCACTGGCAGGTTTCCAACCCCTATGGCCTTTGCATCATCGAAGAGAAGTTGCTGGCAGTGGCCGATCGGGGGGCCGAGCCTTAGCACGAGCACCTTAGAACCGAAGACAGTGGCAGACGAGTGGACTAAAATGCAACAAACCCCTACCAGCACCCTCCAACAGGTCACCACCTGCGACTTTTAAGTCTCCAAAAGCCACCAGAGGAGACCTGTTGGAAGGTGCTGGTACAGGTCAGTTAGACCTCATTGTACTGGACTTGGTCATGCACAAAAACAGGACTCAAGGAGGTCGTTCAGACCAGGTTCGGACCCCGGCCAGACTGGTCCGACTGAACCGATCAGACTAGACAACGTCCGCTTCACATCGCTTCACGACTGCTGAGCGTTGGCATCTGCGCTACTTGCGCCGGCCAGCCATGGGGGACGGGCATTCCTTTCAGATCCTTTTTGTGGATGCGACTTTTTAAATGGAGTGTGTATTGAAGAATAGACACCCAAATAAGGGGGGGTAGGTCAACCAAAGGGTTTTGGGCTCCTTCTTCCGGATCCTTTTTTACGGTCTCCATCGTTTTTGGATGATGCCCGGGGCACGGCACGGCTTTCGTGACGCAGGACGCGGGTTCTCAGGTTATTGTGGGTTAGCCATTCTGAACCCTTGGGCAGGGTAGGCCTGTTACAGGCCTACTACACTTAACAAGTAGGTTAGCATGTTAATTAGATAGCAATCACATGCAATCACTATAGCAATCATATGGATTGGATCATTTGGGAATCCGAAGATCGAAAAAGAACAGGTGGCTTCCATGACAGAGCAAGTCTGTCGACATTCGACGACCGCCCTTCTCGAGGACCGTGTGCTGCTCTTAAGCCTTGATGAGATGGAGCTGCTCAGGGAGCTTCCAATGGAGGTGAAGTGAGTGAAAGAGAGAAGGAACAGAACCTCCAGTCTTCCAAGACCATCCAAATAAAGGTTGGCCCGGTTTCTTCGTGTAAGTTACACGTCAAGTCCATGTAAAAGCAATGGTTGTTCGGTGAAAGCCGTGATACATCAGTGGTTTTTCCACCCTAGGGTGGCTGGAAGAATGGACTGGACGTGGGATGGTGAGGAGACGTATTCGTTTTCAATCGTCTCGCAGCCATCCCAGGCCTCCATGGGACTGGAACATATGCCGCCCCAGCAAAACCCCCCTGGCGCCACCCCCCTGGCCCTAGGTCCAGATGGCCCTTCCATTCGCCTCCCAGACACCTGTTCGGGACTGCCAGGACGGACTGCCGACCCATTGATCTCCCCTGGCAGCAGTCCTATGGGAGTCTCATGGAGTGTTTGGGTTTGAAGGGCATGTCGTTTTCGGGCAAGCATCTCTCACCATATCTCACTGTGGATGTACTTTAATTGGTCGATCCAGTATATACATGCATATTACATATTCCAATATATGAATATGTTATATGCATCAAAGTAATATAACTATAACCTATAGTACTGTGGATGGGGCGCAGCTACTTCCTTGGCCACTCCACTTTTTGCCGGCCACCCCCAGCAGAGCCGAGTACCACGGCGCCCGCCACGCTGCCCTCCCAGGGCAGCGCAAGCGGTGTGACGAAGCTTGGGATGCCCAACGATGTGGTGGCGGACGCTGCAGGCGCCGTTTTTCACCGCGCAGGCTTGGGCAGGTCTGGCGGCCAGAAGGCAGGTAACACTGCAGTTGAGATCGCTCATGTCAGCTCTCAACATGGGCATAGTTGAAATGGATCCGCCTTCTGAGAAGGGGTGCCAGGAGGGTCGAGTCGTACCTTCTGAGAAGGTGGTTGGATACCGAAGGGATAGATAGTTGAAATCTGGTTTCAACAAATTGGAGCCATGGGGTCTTCAGGCCGATTTTTCCGATCGATATGCTTCTTCGCCTGGGCTTCCAGAGGGCCGATTTTCGCCAGGCAACCTGCTGGTGATGGACACCCGCAACGAACGCGTGGCGGTCTTCCGTCAGGCCGAGTGCGAGAGTGACGGGAGATACACTCCGAGTCACCAGCATTCAAAGTGGATGGCACCACCCGAAGTGGATGGCACCACCCGCTTGGTATGACGATGTATGAGGACGCATGGTCATCCAATGGGCCATGGCCATCGGCTCCCGGTAGTGCACCACGTGTTTATTTTTTCTGTCCCCGAACATCATCACACATGCCGAACATAAACATGTGTTTTATAACATGCATGCATGTGTAAGTAATTGGCTATCAATGCCAACTGTCAATTTCGTGTGCAGGCAGTACCCAACCTAGCAAGATAGAATGGGAAGTGTTTTGAGTCAAAGCATGGGTTGCAGCTGCGGACCCGGACCTGCTTCAATTCCCTACTATCTGGGGCTAGTGAACAAGAAGAATGGCTCTGAAATATGCCGCCTTTTACTGTTTTCAGGATGGCACCTTCATTGCCAGCATCATGGAGGGTTTCTTCAAGGCTCACTGGCGATCATGTGTGCGTGTGCGAAGCAAACTGAGCTGTTGTGGTTCTAATTTGGGTCTGTCAGTTACTAATACTAACCAGCATCATCCACTGTTACTGGTCATGGGGTAGACCCAAGTTCGAATAATGGCTGTCCACACCATTCGACGGATGTTGCGAGGGAGTCGTACTATATGTTTGTACTACAAACCGATGGCGGAAGTCACGGGGCCTGATTGGTGGGAGGGCGAATGCTGCTGAGTCAGGCGGGATCCACCACAGTGCAGAATGGGCTGTATCACGCTTCTATTCACCACCATCATGAGGAGGAGGATGGTGATCATTATCACCATCACCATCACCATCACCATCACCATCATCACCATCATCACCATCATCATCATCATCATCATCATCATCATCATCTAGTCAGGAGTGGTACTACTTGATGTTGGTTTCACGTCCCTTTGAGGCAATTCTCGCTTCACCGCCTCACGCCGACCGACGCGGAGAACTCCGACCGAGCGCAGGACAAGGGGAACACCTTCTCGTACCTGGCGTGCAACGTCGAAACCGGAGCCCCTTGGAGTCGAGGGTGGCCGGACTGAGAGTTTACGATGGACCGACTCAGGGTGGGGTGGCTGAGGGTGGCTGGATCCAAAGCCCAGACGCTGCTCATGGGACTGCCATAGATGCCGACATTGACCCCCCTGGCGCCACCACGATCGGCATATATTCCTGCAGTCTCTCCTCTTAGGGGCCGAAAGTTTCCCCATTTTCACAACTCTAAGCACCAGTCAGTTGAGTTGAGCCCAAGTTCGAGTTGAATTGAGCTGCTTTTGGACTCTCCAAAGGAGCTCCCTCACGTCTCACATGGAAGTGGACCATCCCATTTGTAGAGCAATTTGGGGTCTTCCAGGGGCTTATTACGCAAGCGAAGACCACACTGACACTGATGGGTGCTGACGGAAGGAAGGAATGGCGCATTTTCCATTGCAGTTGGGGAAGTCTCACACCAGAGGGAGAGAGAGAGAGAGAGAGAGAGGGAGAGAGAGAGGAAGGGTTCGCACCATGCCCAGGTGGTCGCATTGTCCAACAATGACATGCACGAGCACCTCATCAGCACCAAATGCTTACCGCTCCGCCGGCTCTGTCAGGGCGAAAAGCGCGGATCAAGTATCCACAGAACCAAGTCTCCCACCCATTTTCCACCATGTGAAAGGCCCTGATTCCGTACGATGCCGAACACCAAACGGGTCGGTGAGATCCCGGATTCCACTGGAGCAGGTCCAGCTCCGGTAGTTGGTCCCTCTCCAGGCATGTCTTCCTCACAGCATCATACAAAAGTTATATGAAAACCCTCCTTGCAACAATCATGGAAGTGGACAACCCCCTCTTGGTAGAGGAAAGTTATCTTCCTTTCGGGGCCACGCCATCCACTTCCATGATTGTTTCAGGGAGTGTATGGGTAAGACATCATTATAAACTCATCAATCTTCCAGTCCTGTGGGTCACTGGAGGCTGGCGCTGCTGAGCACTGATCCGGCACGATTGGTCGTGGCCGAGTGAGGGGCGGAGTGATGCAGTCGTTGCTTTGAATGGATGTGGTGATACGAGTCACCAAGGCTGTTCTGCAAGAGCCTTCCGACTAGGTGGGGAAGACAGCAGGTTCACCACTTTTTCCAATTGCAAGAGATTTACTGGGGGAAATGGTGCGGCAGGAGGTGGGCAATGTAATCTAAAGCCATTTAAGCGAGACTTGTTGAAGTTTTGTACTGCTGCCTGAGACTACTCGGACCTGTGCCCTGGCTGCTGTGCAGTGGCTGCTGGGCTTGGCTGAGCAGTTTCCGCGCGAGAACTTGGAAGAACTCAAAAACTTCTTATGGCCAAGCAGTGGAGGGAGCGTCAGATGATGATCTCCCAAAACGAGGGAGGCCAAGTTTCTTCTGAGCTTTGTGCCGTCGAGACTTCCACTGATCAGTCCACTGATCAGTGCCTGCAGTGCCGCGTGCAGCTGCACTGGTATTGTACAGCTGCAGGAGAGCCAAAAGACGACCTCAAGCGTGACCTATTCTGAAGTAGGTCCAACTGCTGTAGTGGCCAGCCATGGTTTTTTGCGATGGATTTTAGACGACAACATTAGGTCAACCATTCTTTTTATGGTCTTGGTTCCGGCGAATGGGCAACCGTGCATGTCTGCAAAGTTTGGGCGAGGTTTTCTCAATGAGACCATGCAGTCGTCACAAAAGAATCTTCAGGACACCACCAGTTGTGTTATGTTTTGCTTTGTCTGAGGATCTATCTCCAGGATGACTTTATCACGGACTTTTCCAGTTGTGCGGGGCAGTATATATACATATTATATGTTAATGTACATATGTACATACAGTTTGCTTCCATAACTCATGAAAGAGGTGAGTCAGCAAGCAACTGCATGCAAGGACGCAGTAGAGCTCAGATTGAAACTTCCTTCATGCTTTTCCACCCGCGACCCAGGTCCTCATTGCCGCCTCTTCGCAGGCCATTGGCGCGAGTCCGGTTACTGTTCGGGCGGCGGCACCAAATGCGGAATTCGCGAAAAAACGAGAGGAATTTGGGGTCTGTACTCGCAGTACTTCGGGCATGTGAGTGGTATTGGGGAGTCAAGAGGCTTTCCTTCGGATTCTCCAGCATCTCAAAGTGTGGGCCAAACGGAGGGGTATTCAATTTTGGATGTTTTTCGATCGTATTTTTTGGTAGTGAATCTATTTTCTATTGTTTGTTCTGTGCTTGTCTTGCCTTTCCTTGCTTATCACTGCTTCTCTGCTTTCCTGTTTTTTTTCCTGTGCTTTTCCTTGCTTCTTTGTGAATCCTGTTTCTTTCCTTTGCTGCTTTTTGTGCATGTTTTTTTTGCTTGGTTGTTTTTTCCTTCTGTTTCTGCTGGCCCAGACGCTCCAAACAGCTCTTGGTACCTCAAAACCCTAGGGATTTGAGACGCCAGACCCCTCCATATGAGGGTCCGACCCCTCCATATGAGGGCCCATGAGCGTCTGGGGGTTGGTGTTTTTTTCTTCTTCTCGTCTTTTTGTAGCGAGTGAGTCTCTTTCGTAATGTCTACACTTAGTCACTAAGTCACTCCGATCACTATACATCTGTTGCCCCAGCTTACAAAACCCTTTGCCCGCTTTTTTTCTTGAGATTCGCAGAGTGCTGCGCCTGCCACCAGCGGAGAAAGATAGTTCAACAACAACTTAGACTTAGATAGCTGTTGCACATCAGACCACCGCAACCCCCACAACGGCGCATGCTAAGGGCCGCCATCGAGGTTTACAAAGCGCTGCGAAGGTAAAGTTTAAAGAAGGAAAGGGACCATTCCGACATAGTCCGTACATCTTCTGTGAGCCACCCGAGGTTGGATGCTAAGGTCTACCAGGCTTTCGTCATCTGACATTAGACCTATAGATTATGTTGAGATAAGCGCTCCGTGCTTCCCAAAGTGCACTCCGAGGTTCACATAACACTGCTCAGCAGGACATCTTGCATTTCCAGCCTATACCAGCACCAACAAAAACAAGAAACACAACGAAAAACATACAACACAACGGAATCCGAGACCCCGGGAGCCCAAATCTTCGCGCCTTTCAGGTGAAGATGACCGTGATGGAGGCCAACACGAGTGCGGCGCTGGTCTTCCAGGCCGTCCGGAGCTCCCAGAGCCGAAACCCAGCCTGTCGTCGGTCGCAAAGGAATGCATGATGGGTGGAATCCGGTGCACAGGGACTCGGAACTACTTCCGGGGGCATTGTAACGAATGGATTGTTAATTACTAATTATATAGTTCAGTGAACATCCACCAGTTTAGAACATTCAAACGCAACTTTCCGATTTGATTGTTTGGTCCGGCTGCTCTAACTCGCTTGTTGCGACCGGTTGCGACTCTCCTCTCGATCACGTTGTTGAGGCAGGCGCCTTCAGATCAGCTAGGCTGCAGTGTCCAGCTGCAACATCCATCCTTGGGGTCTAAAGGCCAGTGAGCAACCCTCCCCCTTTCCCTGACAGGCCGACCAAGCCCGAAGATGAGGTTCCCAGGCGCTCCGTTCGCGGCCCGACCGGTCCGGTCCCTCCAAACCTACACCTACCAGGACCGAAACCAAGTTCGGTCACCACCTGCGACTGAGACTAGGTCTACAAGGTCCATCGGAGACCTGTTGAGTCGGGTGCTGGGTAGGTCCGAAGGAGCTTCTGGAGCCGAAAGAACGTCTGCCACGGGGCGTCGTCCACCGAGCTCATCCGAATGATCCAGCGGGATGAAAAAACCCTCTACCGATGAGGGAGGTGATAGGGACCCAGCCGTGCCGAACCTCAGGTTCGGTATGACTGGACCCTCCTGGCACCTACATGATCTCCAATCACCGTACCTGAGAAGGCACCGGTCCTGGATCCCTATAGGGAGTGTGATCGATCGCACCGTTTGAGGTCCAGCTCGCCCAGCAAGCAGCTCCAGCCCTCCGGACGGCAGGCGGTGCTGGGTGGTGGTGGCTGATCTAGCGGTGGCAGGTGCGTCGAACGTCGGCATGACAGATATACCGATCAGGTGAGGTGGTTGCAAAGGGGGTCAATGGCTGTGGGTCATGGCACCACCCTGAGGCAGGCACGAACTCCCCCTGCCGGTCGTTCGCGGCAAATGGTGGACGACTGTCGGGCTCCACGACTCACCCTCACCCCGGCCCTCAACGACTTGCGGAGTGGAAAGAATCGGACCGGAATGGTCGTGGCATGGTCATGTCCATTCCAAATATACCAAATATACCGGAGCCCTGATGTGGGGTGTTGGCACATTGGTGCTATCCTGTTGGGTGAGAAAAGCCATGGAACACAACTGCACCTTGGGCGGAAACACCTCACAGAATTCCGAGTCCAAGATGGAATCCTACAGTCATATAGTGTTTGCCCAAAGGCAACCAGGGTTTAGGATCGAACCAACATGCAGCAGTTGGTTCGGGTATATGCGCCTTTGTGTCTCACTTTTCAGCACTTGCTTCCTCAGCTCTAGGACCAGGCTTAAGCCAGCCACCGCCCTACAACTAGAGACGGCAAACAAGTTCTTGATTGGTCACGGTCGGTGGGCCCACCGTGTGAAGAGTTCGATCCAGCCCTTGCTTGCTTCTGGCTCCAAGGAATTCGAGGGGTCAAGAGGGCCAAAGGCTGCCAGCAAGGGGCCGGCCTGAAGCCGAACTTCGAAGCTCCCAAAGGGAGCTGGAAGAAGCTTTGCCCCGAAAAAGCTTTCCGCAACTAGGTTAAAAAAACAACACCGCCAGGATGTCCCCTATGGATTCGCTGCAGTAGTTATTGTCCACATAGTAGATCGGCTTGTGTTCATCATCATATATCATTGGAGTGACTTCTGGGATCTTCTTGGCACAAGTTGTTGGCCCTATGCAGAATGCAGATCCCAGAATTCATCGGGCTTTCAGTGTTTTTTTCTCAGCAACATTGACTGGGTGAAGCTACCCAGACTTCTTCTCGCGGAGTCAAGTCCGAGAATGAATTTGGATCGAACATGGTCCAGTTGCATGCTACGAGAGGTCCCAAGTGAACACAAGCTTCCCTCGGAGCCCACGGCGCCTCGGTGCGGGGCCGGCGCTGCGGAGGGGCTTGGCCAGGGAGGTCTACTTCCGGTGAGGGTGGTGTTCAGGAACCCTGGAAAAGAAACGGCATCAAGAAGCTGAACCACTCACTCAGAAGATGCGTTTTCATGAAAGCTGACTCCAAGTAGGACGCCCACAAAAGAAGTCTACTCTTAGGTTTCCACCAAAGGAAGCTGCGCGGGGCTGTTGGTTTCCCCCTCTTGTGGGCTTTCTTTCGGGCTTCTGCCGAGCGCTTTGGTGCGTTTCGTCGCCCTGCAGGGGAGTCACGGACCGACGAGTCACGGACCTGGCCCAAGAGATGTCTCGTTCCGAGGATGATCCATCTTCCGCTCAGGACTGGGTCGGTCCAGGGCCAGAGAGGGTCACCTGTGCAAGCCAACGCTCAGAATGCAGGGTTCCCAGTCAGTTGCAGGCCAGAAGTTGTGTTGGAAGATCACCTCAAGAACCAGGCTGCAGAGGAGTTCTTTTCAGGCATCTCATCTCTTTTGGTGTGGGCTTTGTGATGTGCGAGTGGGCCCCTCTTGGTTTTGAGCAAGTAACTAGTACTTCTTGGCCTCATTGATTGGACTCCTGCCGGGTCAGGAGGGGGTCCCATCACGTCAGCGCCTCCCCAACCCCGCCCAACGCCATTCCGCGGGGCTCGCAGTCGCGCGGAAGGTCCGTCCGCGATGGTGAGGAGATTCTTCGACATCTGGCACCGAAGTGGCTGGCGGAGAATCACTCTGCTCAGAAGCTCGCAGCTGAGATGATTGCAACTAAGCTGAAGCTGGCACCATCCGCCCGAGGTTTTTTTTCAGCCTGATCGACGGATATCTGGATCTGGAGACCTCAGGCCGCGTCTCATTGGAGCCAGAGGCTTCCCGATCCCCATGGTGTTGGAAGTATGCCTGTCTCACCTGGAGTCCCAACCGGTGGATTGCTATATCTGTGTGACCCAGAGGGCTGACGGTGTTTTGGGAATAGAGAGCTACTAGACCTAGCCCCCAGGTCGTGTGCCAGCAAAAGAGAATCTCTTTGGTGGTTGCAAATCCACCCCCAAACAACATGTCCGGACATCAATTCTTGCTTGAAAAGAGATCTTTTGAGTTTTGAGCAGTCTTTGACCATTTGATTAGCTAAGCAGGGGCTGTTCAGCCATCAGAGCGCTGTATGACTGAAGATCGCCGATTTGGCGATAGAGCATGCCAAGTGCATCCGCTTCTTCAACCACCATTCAGAAGGATAAGAATGGATACAAATATTAAAAAAAACGCCGCGAAAAGAACCTCCCTGGGCAAAACAACAGAGACTCACTTGAACTCCAGCCCTGTGTACTTTTTCACTATCCCAGGCCAGGTATCTCCTAGCAAGAGTAACTGTTGCACCCCCATCTTCCAGGAATTCTCCCAGGTCTGTCTTTGTTTCCTCCCCCTTCTTTTCTCGCACCAAGCGACTGAACCGCCACGGCGTCGCGGACTGAGGAGAGTGGGATGGATCTGGCGCTGCTGGGGCGCGAGGACCTACGTGAACTGGGGCTTAGCATGGTGGAGGCCTCCAAGGTCCTCAACTGGTCGCAGGTGCCTCCGGTCTGTGAGAGGTTGTGACAGCAAAATCCCAAGTTCAAGGACTAAGGTGGCACCACCTGAGTCAAGGAACGTCCTTGTCGGGTTACCTCAAGGACCCTCAAGGGCCCTCAAGGGCTATATTTTGTGGGGGGATCGTTTGATCCTCTTCCACGGGCAAGTGAAGAACACCACCAGTTCCATCGAGTCCCTGGCTTCTAAGCCAGGGAGGCGCTCCGTTCCCGCTTTTTTCGCCTGATGGCTAAGCCCCGGGCTACCGGTGGTCCTGTCACATCCACTGATGTGGAGAGCCGACCGGACATGAACAAGATTTATGTACCTGCACCTTCCAACAGGTCTCCGAAATGGAGGGTTGTTAGGCCCTGACAGGTTTCAATTGGTGGCCTGTTGGAGGTGCTGGTACATGAAGTGGACAGCCTTGAACCTCGGGGGATTGGGGATCACCCCACGAAGATCCACGAGCGTCTAATGAAGACTGGCAAATGGGAGATGCGAACAGATGGAAAAAGGTGAAGCATGGTGAAGCTATGTGAAGCTTCTTTTTTTCAAGGGAAACTGACTGAAGATGACTGAAGATGGCTGAAAGAGGATTTGGAAGGAGAAAGATGCGACTGTGCAACTGTGCAACTTGTACGTATTCAGCATGTACTATGGTTTACGGCGTTTACGGGTCCTGGCCATTCCTTGCCCTTCCTGCCTTCATTCCCCTGTGCGCCAGGTCGTCCGGTCAAGACCGCTTCCTCCAGAGCAGAACCTGGTGCGCTTATCCTCAGATCTCCCCTTGAGCCCTTGGCATGGAGCAAAGGCGCGGCAAGGGCCCAGGCTTGGCAGGTGGCCACTGAGAAGTTGGAAAGAGTCATGAAGTCTTTTGGCCTTGAGGTGGCCTCTGTCAAATGAATCCGAGCACTTACGAAATCATCAAAGTCGTCAATTAATGTTTCAATATTTTTTGAACCTGACACTGTCACTACCCACTATCTGAACCTCATGAGGCTGGTGTGGATTCTTGAATCGATGTATTTTTCTCTTACGATTCCGACCAGCGAATCCAGGTGAAGACCGCCAAGTCGACACCTTCCATGAGCCCCTGGGCGGAAGTCGAGGTCCAGGCCGGTGCCCACAGGGGCCCAAGTTCCTGGAGAAGGGGGGAGCTGCATCTCCAAATGGGTCTCGATGAAGAAGCGGTTCCGGAAGACAAAGGCCACATCCAGAGTTACCACGACCCAGGGTAACCGCACTGCCAACCATCCAAAAGACCACCACAACAAACGCCCAAGTCACCAGACACCCAACCAAGAACCCACCCCTCCCCCAAAACACGGAACTTGACCCCCTGGACCCATGGACGTCCGATGTAGAACCACCAAGCTTCCAAGATGTAGAACAGCGGCTTACACTCCCCGAAAGAGTCTACTGAATGGAGTTCGCCACCATGTTTGGTCTTTGTATATATAATCCTATCGGGATCGCACGTGCAGGCCGAAGAGCAACGTCTGGATGAGATTGAAGGCCGGAAGCCCGGGAGAAAGGCGCCAAAAACGACTGCAATGACCCATGGTCACCTCCGCGTCTAGTGCATGTCTGTGCCACTTGATGGTCAGAGTAGGCCAAGATTACTCCGCATCCCAGGCTATTCCACGAACAGTGGTTGCAGATTGCAGAGTAGATGGCACAACCCCCCATGTATGTGATCCTACATGTCTTGCAGATGAGGGTCCACATATCCACCAAACTTGTTGATTGTGCCATCTACTCTCCCTGTAGGAAGTTTCCCAACCCCTTGACGGTGCATTTGCCAGTGTCGGTGTCCTGCAATTTTTTCCATTGCCTTCACGCCAGGTCAAGTGGATTTTTGGGTCAGCTGCTTTGCCTCCGGCCTGCAGTGCACTCCCATGCTTTCCACCGGCCTGGAGTCCTTACAGGAGGATGCTACTTGGATCTGTTTCGGCAGCGAGCGACTAGACTTTTCTGGGCACGTGAGGCAATCGAAATCTGGCCGGGAAGCCAGATGAAGGAGTCTCAAGCTGACCATTCTCCAGAAAGAAATGGAAGGAGTCTCAAGCTGACCATCTCCAGAAAGAAATGGGGCTGTTCACGATCTTTCACGATCACCGATCTTCTGACTTTGCTCACCCAGACTCTGCGAGTTTGGGGGCCCATGAGGTGCGAGAAAACATTTTGGAGGCCTTCTTTGATTGCACCCCTGAATCTTGGCGCATCTTCTTTTGCTCCGTCGAGCGGCAGGCTGAAGTTACTCAAGTTCCATGGTGCACTCTTGTATTGATATGTATTGATATCCCTTGATGAATGGCCCCCCATATGAAGAGGTTAATCACGAAAGCTAGCGTCAGCTAGCTGGAGTTACTCTTGCTTTAACAATTAAGTCATTGGCTGGGGGATGGAATCGCCTACCCCCCAGTGAATAATTCATGTGTCGACCCCGCTTTTTCCGGCTGGGTTCAACTCCCCCCTCCACGTCTAACCAAGGCATTGGAGAGGTCACTAGGTCATTTAACTCTAAGCCACCGAAACCTCTCGCACACCGAAATGACGCCCTCATCCCGTTTCCAAGCCATGCGAGCTCATCTTCCGACCCGCTCGTCATCCGTGTTTTTCTTCCCATGTGCAGCCCACCCAAGGAGCGGGTGCGAGAGGTCTTTGTGAGCATGGACACGGACAATGATGGTCACGTCTCGGTGGAGGAGTTGCGTGTGGGGCTGCAGCGCTGTGGGATCTCAGGCGGACACGAATCCGCCGATCTTTATGGTTCTTTCAGATATGTTCAATATTGTTCAATGTTCCAAAAGCATCCCCCTAGGGATCCAAGTACCTTCTCAGAAGGTGTTTGGGGTGGGTGCCAGGAGGGTCTAAGTGCCTTCTGAGAAGGTACTTGGATCCCTAGGGTCCAAAAGCCCACCTTCGAGGTTTCGACAACCAGACCTTGGCCACCGTCTTTGAGCACGTCACCGGGGCTGGAAGGCGAAGGTCACGTCGGAGCTGGGGGGGCTAGTGGTGGACGGTCCTCGTTGGGGTGTGTTTTGACATGTTTTGACACCATCCACGTCACCCCGAAAGGTGTGATGCTATAGGGGGAGCTCCAGGTAGTCTGACTCCCTGGAAGAAGGGACATGAACCAAAAGCCTCCAAAACCCCGGGCCAACGGGGGGGGTTCTCCCTGTCTACCATGCACACCGGTGGCGGCGACGTGAGAGATCGGACGTAGGTTTCGGTGCCGCGAAGGAGTTCTTTGGTTTGATGAGTTCGTCATGCAAACGACTCCCTCCGGCAAACGACTGTGCCAACTTTCTGGTGGAAAGATTCAATCTAGGACGTATGCCTTTTTCAAGTAGATGATGTAGATGTGTTTTGGGCTTAACGTCTCCAAACGTCAGCAGCGGAGGAATTCTGAACACGAGCACAACTAATCTCTTGTCCGCTATTTCGGGTTCTTCGCGGGCGATCGCCCGCGATCGCCCGCGCCGCGCGCCGATCGCGCCGCGCCGGTAGGGCCTTGCACCTCCAAGCCTTCGAAACGATTTTGTGTCGACTGCGCCTGGCGAGTCTACTCACCCGACCCTGGAAACCGAAGAGTTTATCTGTGATGGACTTCAATGCCAGCGCCTTGGGTCGATTCTTCATGCTGCTCGTGGTGTGTTTTCAGCGGTACCACCGCGGGCCGCCGGGCGGCGCGGGCCGCTGCGACGAAGGACGGTCCGGCCTTGCAAGACCCTGAGTAAAGAGTTAACCTCCAGGCTTCCAACAACAATTAATAGGCTGAATCCCGAATCAACTAAGGATACAAAAACCAGGTCAACCATGGTTTTTAATAGTCTTGGAAGTCTAGGGACTTCATGGTTGTTTGGTAAAGATGGTAAAGGCATGTAAAGGCCATTAACTCAATGGCGGTTGGCTTTGGTCTCCAGTGCTTCTTCGGGTGCTCCTCGAGAATGTCCATCGCAAAGATGTCCAGTCCGCCAGTCGATCGGAACTGTCGCTGCGTCGTTGGGGGCGTCTGACCAGACCCGGGCAACCGGGCGTCGGCGCGCGCGTAAGACGCGTCACCGGCCGCTTGGAGGTAAAGTCAGCGACGCGGAGGTGACCTCAGCCGCTAGGAGCCACGAGTTGTCACCACGAATGACAGGACGTTCGATTCGAAGAGGTCGGTGGCTTTGGAAATTTTAGCGGTTTCAGAGGTCGGCACTGGCACCCCAAAGATGTCTTTTAGAGGGGGTCCATATCAACCACCGACGTTGGGGATTGTGTCATCTACTCTGAAACCACTGTATTGCCAACCTTTACTTGGGATGATTGAACCCACTTGCGAAGCCACCCTTCCCACAAATTCTGACCCTGCGAAACCGCCAGTGTTGGCAACCCAGCAGTTTATACTGTAGAGTCTCTAGAGCTTTTCGTGATTTCCACATTCTGAGCAACACTTTAATAATTGCAATTACAAGTAATTACACTGACTGTTCTTTTTTTTATTCTGTCCTGCTAAGTTTTTACTTACAGAGCAGGTGGTTTTGGGCTCCGGACCCGGATGTTTAAACAAGTTCTAGAAGGTTTCAAGCCAGCCAGAAAATGAAGGGCAAAGATGAGGATATGGGCCATATGGGTTTCTTAAACAGAATGAGGGTAGGAATGTGTGTTCCTAGTAGCAAACATGGTTACCAGTAGATGAACTGAGCTACGGCCCGGCCAGTCCAAGGCTGAGCGTGCGCTCCGGGGTGAAACATGACGGTTATGTAGAAATCGTAGTGGAATTGCCTTATATATAGAAGTGTATAGAGTTATATATATATATATAGATACAAGAGATACTGTGTATGTTGCGTTTTTCGGGCCCAGACCCTCCATGGGACAGGACTATTACTGTGCATGGCTGTTTCGTCCAAACCTGGAGGCTGACCGTGCCACGGTGCGAGCCACAGGGCGCTCAGACACCGGAGTCATAGCCCAGTCATTCTCCGTTTGCAGAGTGAAACGGTTAGACCATGCTAGACCATATGAATTATAAGAGAAAGATCAGCAGAGGGCCAATTGAATGCGTTTGATGTTCTGCCACCATCACTTTACTCTCTTCTTCATCATTTGATGGAACAAGAGGAAAGATAAACAAGCCAAGGTAAAAAGATGTTATGATTGTGATGAATCCAAACTCGAGCTTGGGCCACCCCAAAAGTGTTTTTGCCCAAAAAGGCCTGAGCTAGCTCAGGGCAGCATACAGGCGTTCTAAATCTCACCATTCTGGGGGGCTGCGCGCATTTGCGCGCCCTCTCTAAGGACAACATGTGTCAATTCTTCTTCGGCCATCGACTTTGCTCTGATCGCTTGGCAGTGCTGCCTGCTGGAGATGTCCTCGCAACTCGTCAGTCCTCATGGCTTGACTTTGGCTCCTGTCCTCGTCGCACAAATTCGTGAAAACGCATGAAACGCCAACTTGGAGGCAGCAGCAAATGTGTCAACTGCAGAGCTGTGTGTACGTCTGGAGCGGCTAAGATATCTGAAGGCAATGAGGAGAGAGTTTGCATATGACGGCTGCACGCACCCCCAAGATCCACATGAGAGTCGAGGGCCGTATGATTCCTATGGATGTCCCCATGCATGGGGACAACGGCCAAAACAGCCTCTGGACATGCTGGCAAGCTGAGGTGAGGTGGGTGCACATGGCGAGTTTTGATCTCAATTTGTGGCGGGGCTGCAGGGAAGATGCGGAAGTTCTCCTCGCCACGACTGAGCATTCTGTTTGCTTAAGCCTGAGCTTTCGAAAAAAAAAGCATCGGTTGGATGGAGGGGTTGCCTTTGGATGTGTTTCACTTGTTTCATGTGGTTTTGAGCGTGGGGAGTGTTGAAAGAAGCACCTTTGGAATGTGCTTGGTGCCACACTTCTTTGCGTGGGACCCCACTATAGGCCCCGCAGAACTGGGCGAACTCGCTTCCATGGCTGCTATTGTTACATTCCCTACGACTTTCAGCTGGACAAAGTTGTCTTCCGAAGTTGGTTGAACAATGTTGAAGATGGGAGAAGGGGTCCGGTTGCAAACTCAGTTTCATGGATCACTCAATCCGGTAACTACATGGTGCTCAAGGAGGCTTCGTAAGCCTGACTGTGATGACTGACCGACATGGAACGTAGAACGTAGAACATGGACTCCATGGACCCTTGCATGACTTTCCCAATGTGATGTGTTCAGAGTGCTTGGTGTTCTTTGGCACCTCCGAACACACCGTCTTGCACCTGACGGGCCTTCACCGGAGCTCATTCGGTTCGCAGCTCATCCGCGAAGCGCGAATGAGGCTTTTCGCACTGACGGTGAAGTATACCTTGCACCCCCTCAGTGCCTTGCGTGGTGAGAGAAGGTCAGTGAAAGTCCATGGGTTGGCAGCTAGTACGTGCAGTACGTGCACCTGAACAAGCTTTATGTGAAGAATGGTGAATTGATGACTCCAATGTGACTCCCAGAGGTGGAAGAAGGTCAGCTGATTTGGTCTGAAACTGTGGGGGCCGCACCTGGAGCCCAGCCCATGATTCGCCAGGTTCACCATGTCAGGTATTAGTCTCCAGTAGGCCACAGTAGTCCATTCTGTTCTTTGGTCACCGGGTGGACGGGTGGACCCACAGCCAACTGAGTCAATGAGTCCGGTGGTGTGTCCAGTCTGGAAAGGGACAGTCATGCAGTGACGAGACAGTCATGCATCGTTGGTCGAACCACACGAGTGCATGTCAGTATATGATTTCTGACTGGATTAATTACTATTCGATATTATATCATAACCCTAAGTAAGAATCATTGGACCCTCCGAACTGGAGGGTTTGGACCCTGCAGAACGCAGGGGTTTGGACCCGAACCAAACCTTCACCTTTGAGGGTCCTTGATTCTTAGGGAACTATATATATATATAATCATATACACTCCCTGGACTCATGGAAGTGGATGGGCATGGCTCCTTGGATGACCATTTTCCTCTACGAACAGGTGGTTTTCCACTTCCATGAGGATTCTATTTCTACAGAACTGGTTCAAGAAGCTGGCAGCTAGAGGGTTACAAATCAGGTTGATTAACTTGCGGGAGAAACATGCTGCTGAGACCTCCTTCCTTTTGAGGCGTAGGGTTCCAGAAGATGGATTTCACTTTTTGGGCATTGCCCCGTTGACACTCCCTGAAACAATATCATTGGAAAACTGGAGCATGAAACGAAAAGGAGGACCATGTTCAATCCGAAGAGCCCCACAGGTGGTGGTACCATGGGGTGCCACGTGCTTGACCGAAAATGTTTGGGTATCCCTTCGGAGACTGCTTGGCCTGTGGAAGCTGGCAGCAGCTGGCATGTTTCTGTCCTGTATCGTTCAGGTGTGGAGGATGTCATTGAGCAGTGCCAGACCAAGATCGATCGACTTGGAGGTCACTACTTCTTGACCATTGAGTCACTGAGCTGAAAAGGGCACTAGTTTTGGGTTCGTTTCGTGCAGATGTTTTTGCCCGACTCGTGACTCGTGACCGGAGTCTCTCAGTGGGCGAAGCGAAATAGGGCCTGTTTGTGACCCGAAGGTCTTGGGGATCTGAAGATCTGAAGGCTCCGAACGGAGGGCATCGCGGACGCTACTACTAGTACCTAGCTCCTGGCCGTATACTAACTAACTAGGAAGAAGGGGGCTACGAACGTAACAAGAAACTATTAGTAGCTCCTGGTCCTGGCATTGCTACTAGGAACAAGTTGAAGATCCGGATGTTCACAGAACCCTCGGTCGGATGTTACTTATAATTTCATCAGCATCTCCGTTCAGTTGGTCAATTCACTGATTCCTCTCGGGGCTTCGGACACGTACCAACATCGATCAGCATTTTGATACCCCAACCAACATTCTTGTCAAAGCCCCTTGGCTTCGCAGGTGTCCAGCCACATTGTTTCATTGTTCGCGCATGCCGTTCCATGGTGCTGGCTCCAAGGCTCTTGACGCTGGTGGACGGCGGCTTGAGCAAAGGCCGCCAACCCGTGCGTGTCCGAGGGCAACACGCGTCTCGGCCTCCAAAGGGCCCCGCCGTCTTGTGAGCCACCCTTGTGGGCCAGGGCCACATGGAGCCAGAATTACCGGAATATTACGGACATCCTTCTGCTTGGGGGTCGAACTTGGTGATTGAAAGATTGGAGTTGGGCTCCAGTTCTTCAACTTAAGTTTGAGCATTCGCACCTGGACATTGGGAGATCTGGACCCACATTGTCGGTTGCGAAACTTCAGGAGACATCCACAGGATGAGGGGCTTGCTAGGTCTGCTAGGTCCCTACCACTGTACTGTATATATAACCGATGAAAAACAATAATAGGGCTCTTCTTTCAAGGGGAACACTGAAAGAGTCAGGGGAGCAGTCCTTGAACTCACACACTGCTTGTGACCTGAAAGCACTTGGACATCCACGGGGCCGGGCGGAGCGGGGGCCCGTGGGCGGAGCCGGGGCCCCCACTGCGGGCCACTCAGGTGGCTGCCTTCTGTTCTGGCCCTCCCCAGCTCGACACACTCATCACTGTCGCGCAGGCGAGCTCTGACACGTTTCTTTGTTGAAGCAAATCGGACAGACTATGACACGGTTCATCCCTGTTCTTATATGTAGAACGTTGTGCCACTCCAAGTCCTTTGCCGTTTCATCTCCATGCGAAGCTGGTGAAGGGAGCCACCCTTTGGACCACCGGGTAGGTCTTGAAGCAGCACACCAAGAAGAAGCAGAGGTAGTTGTGTCATGTTGTGTGGTAGCCTCTTTGTCGTGTCAGCCTACTAACTAACATTGGACAGTTGAACCATGAACTTCTTGCGATATACCCTGACAGTCCCAATCATGACTCATTTGGCACTTTTGTCAATTGATGTCGCTGGCAACTGGCCACCGGCCACGCCGATCATTCGACTATCCCCTCATTTGACCCCAAACTGGTAGTGGTGGATGTTAACTCTCAGCTATAGCAACATGAGTAAAAACATGTAAAAACACAAGTTCTGGAGGATTAATGCTATATATATATATGTACACACTGTATTATACTTCATAATACTACAAATACGTCAGAACAAAGTGATTAACAATTAGATTCACATGGTTCTACACATGTGAATCAGTCCTCGAACTATGACTCTTCCCAGTCTGTCAAATATGTCTGTCATATATGCCGACCCAGAAAGACCCCTCTGGCACTACCCCAACTGATCGGTAAATATACAGAAAGGGTTCTCCTGGGAGATGTTTTTCATGCAGAAAATGATACAAAAACACTGTGTTTTACAGTGATTTCTTGCAAAATCCTCTCCAAAATTGAGGTTTTGAGCTATTTGTTGATCAATTTTGTGAGATCCAAGCCTATCCCAATTTAGAGGGAATACCAAAAAAAACCCCAAAAAAAAACATCAGAAAACAAAAAAAACAATGTTTGACACAAAATGCAGCCAACATCCAAAAACCAATAGTGACCCCAT